TCAAACCTTCCATTGCTAATCAAAATAACATCAAGAAGCCAGTGATTCTTAAGTTTAGTATCATTTTATCAGAATATGAGCAATCATTCCTTGAGTTTAAATTCTCATAAGTATAAAGTATTTCTAGAAACTAGTGTAGTAAATGCTTTAATCATTTAAAAGTTAGGTTATTAAAAATTACTAAGACATCTAACAAAGCAGATAAATTACATAAAAATGACTATGTCATTTAGGCATTACATTTGGCTGAGTGCAACAGAAACCCAACTGTGGTGATTTAATAAAATAGGGTTTAATTTTCTTAAGAGGAAGTCCAAAGACAGGCAGTCACAGTGCCTTTAACATCCCATTCTTCTGGCTTGCTTTCCTTAAGGTATGATGTTCATTATCATGATTGCCTCATGGTCCCAATATGGCTGCTCCACCTCCAGCATAATATCCCCTTCCAGGTAGGGGGAATAAGAAGGAAGAAAAGGACATAAACAAAAGTCTGGATCTCTCCTTTTTCAGCAGACAGCAATAGCTTCCCCAGAAACCTTGCCTCTAGACTTCTATTCACACCCCAGTGGCCATACTGTGTTACATGGTCACCTAGCTGCAAAGAAGGGTGGGAAATATAGATTTTAGCTGGGTGTATTGCAAGCAAAATTCTGGTTCTATTGTAAATGAGGGAGGGAGAATGGCTATTGTGTTGACAAGTAGCAGTGCCTGCCACAAAAACATTTTTTTATACTGGATCTAGAAAAGGTTTAAACTCCTAGGAACACTGGAGACAGTGAGAAAATGAATGAATGTAATATCTTGAATAAAAGTTTTTTACAGGCTTGGGCTCAGCCTGAGGACAAAATATAACCTATGCTCCTACTGGTGGGCAATTAGACATAGTTCAGCCTGAGCTGGCTTGAGTGAATTTTTAAAAACTAGGCAGGCACCTTCCTACTTATGCTATAGGATGCCTGAAAGGCATCAGCAAGCAATGAACACTCTTAAAATAATTTAACAATGATGCATGATTGCTAATTTTTGTATTTTGTCTCCAGTTTTAACAATAAGAAATTCCTGTCCGGAATAGGCCAGTTGCACTCAAAGAAGCATAGTTCAAATAGCCAAGCACCTTTTTAAAGAAATTCAAACTTTAACTTGCATCTCTTGAAAAGCATTAAAGACGACCCATTTCATACTACTCAGCAACCCTTTTTGCATCCCTTATTCTCTCCTCCCCCATTCACTCACACATTTTATTGTACCTTACAAAAGTATTGATCCACAATGGATTAGAACTTTTTAAAAAAATTTTCTTCACCACAGAGAGCCTGAGAAGTACTTTTCTAGTATAAATCATTGATTTTGCATCTTGAAGACCTAGAATAGGTCCAGTGGAGACAGACTGTCCTCTGAGATCAACATTCTCATTATTGGGGGAGGTGGAAGGGGAGGAGAGTGTGGGAAGATTTACAATACACTAATTTTTTGCTCATTATGCATTATTATAAAATGAAGGTACAAAATGCAAGCATTTCAGTTGGGGGTGGAGAAGAGGCGCTTACCTAGCTTCCTTTACCAACACTCCACTGTTTTAATGTTACACCCACCCATTCTTGGGCCTCCAGGGGAGGAAACAGGTAATGGTCAATTGACCAAAAGTAATATGGAGAAATAAATCAGGACTGTTGAAATCTCCCCAGATAGTCTGTGTGACGTCAAATAGTAGGATCAGGTAGGGGAGAGTTGGCTACGCATTGGATACAATATAAATTATGACAGGTGAATATTCATTAAATATAGAATTGATGACACTCTAAAAGAAATTGGATATAAATCAGGTTTTAATGAATCGACAATATTCCTCTTGTAGAATATAGTAGTCTCAGGCAGTTGGACTCCAGCCTGCTAAAACTCAGAGGCATCTGGAATGGCTCTAGATGAAGCTGAATATCAGCTATAGCTGCATACAAACACCCCCAAACCATAGTAGCTTCAAACTACCATCATTAATTATTTTTCACAAGCCTGGGGGTAATGTGTGGGCTGGCTGATTGTGATTGACAATGGGATTGCTAATATGGTTGAGGGTTCCTAGAGCCTCAGCTCTAGGCTGGGCTTAGCTGGAGTAGCTTAGCTGGGACAGATCTGCTCCATGTGTCATTCATCCTCCTTCTGGGACCAGCAGACATGACTGAGTATGTCTTTCTCATGGCAATGGCAGGAATCCCAGAGAGCAAGTAGAACCACTAAGTCCTCTTGAGAACTAGGCTTGGAATGGATCCACTTTTCTGACATACCTCATTCTACTGGTCAAAGCAAATCAGGTGGCCAAATGCAGACTCAAAGGTGGAGGTGAGATTCTTCCTCTTTAGTGAGAGAAATCACAAAATCATATGGCAAAGGATGTGGATACAGGACAGATAAAGAACTGAGGCCATTAATCCAATTTCCAAAGTGTAATAATTAATTTTATGTGTCAACTTGACTGGGCCACAAGATTCCCAGATAATCTCCTTAAACATTATTTCTAGTGTGTGTGAGGTTGTTTCTAGAAGAGATTAGCATCTGAATTGAACTCAGTATAACAGATGGACATCTCCAATGTGAGTGGCATCATTCAACCCACTGATGGCCTGAATAGAACAAAGAGGCAGAGGAGGTTGAATTCTTGCTTCGGCTGGAACATCCATTTTCTCCTGCCTGCCCTTAGCACTCCTGTTTCTCAGATCTTCAGATGTGGACTGGAATCTACAACATCAGCTCTCCAGCTCTAGCTCAAATGTTCTTATCACAAAGAAATGATAAATTTTTGTGATGATGAATATGCTAATCACCCTGACTTGATCATCCCACATTGAATATATGTATTGAAATATAACTCTGTACCCCATAAGTATATACAATCAATATATGTCAATTAAAAATAAATAATTTTTAAACCAACAAAACTATACCACTGGCTTTCCTGGGTAACTTCCAGACAGCAGACTGTGGGACTTCTCAGCCTCCATGATCTCACGAGCCAGTTCCTTATAATAAATCATATACAGTCATGCTTTGCTTAACAATGGAGATATGTTTTGAGAAATGTCTCATTAGGCAATTTTGTCACTGTATGAACATCATAGAGTGTACTTACACAAACCTAGATGGTATAGTCATTAAACACTTAAGCTACATGGTACAGCCTGTTGCTCCAACCACCATCATGTATGCAGTCCATCATTAACTGAGACGTTGTCATGAGGCACATGACTGTATGTGTGTGACACCAGAGCAGTACTTGAAGCAAGCATGAATAATGAAGAGAACATAACTATGAAGTCACAGAAATTATTTTTCTAATTTGAACATTGTTTTTAAATAGAAAGATTTCATGTAAAAATCCAGATTTTTGGCTTTTTTTGAAAGATCAGAAGCTCCACAACACAGGGTCCTCATTCCCACATGGTTCCACAGCTCTCGGGAACTGAGTAGTAGCTGCTCACTGCCCTGTCAACTCATTTGTTTAATCTCCCTAGCTCAAGGAGCCATTTAAGTTTGCTTTACGCAGTAGTAGTTCTACAGACAGATCTGTTTCTTAAGCTTCATATGGGCTTCTGGAGTGCTTATTGCTTACTGAACATCTGTAAAGGCATCCTGAAGCACCTCAAACTCAATATATTCAACAAAATCAAAACTAAAGCATCCTTTCTTCCTGCATGCAACATACTCATCTCCAATAATCCCTACCTCCTTTGTCCAAACTAGAAAATTATTATCTAACAGTTTGAGTTTTCTTTCCCTCTCTAATATACTGGAGTATAAGATTTCATTTACAATAATACTACAGAGTTTAGAAAATAACTTAATAAAGAATGGCCAAGACCTTTCCCAAAAGAGTGTTAAAACTATGATAATGTAAACAAAAAGAATGAATAAATGGAGCAAAAAAGAATGTATGTGGATTCGACATCTTAACATAGAAAAGTTTTATGTTAATTCTTCCCCCGATAAATCTATATATTCAATGTAATCTTAATAAAAATCCCATTGGATTGTTTGAGGAACTCAGCAAACTCATTCTAAAACTTATACGGAAAAACAGAGGTTCATGAATAAGTCAAATTTGAAGAAGAAAAGCAAAGTGGGGACTTGTTCTACCAGTTTTGAAGACATACTATAGAACCAGAGTAATGAAAATATAATGGTTCTGGCACAGAATCATTGTTCCAGAATTACTCTGGAACAGGCTAATTGATGATTGGAAAAGAATAGAGAGCAGAGAAATAGACCCATATATAGACACGAACACCTGATAGATGATAATGGTGGTACTACAAAGCAATGCAAAAGAAACAGTTTTAAGTAAACTAAGTCATGTCTGAATCCCCCCTCCCCCATTGAACTAGAGAACGGAATGCAAAAGTTCAAATTATAAGGCCAATACACGAAAATATGACTTGGGATGGGGAAAGACTTTATGAATAAGATTCAAAAACCTAAATCATAGCACAAATGAAATAAAATAAAGTAAAATAAAACAAGGCTTGATTTGACTACTTAAACATTAAGGATTTCTGGTCAATAAAGGACACCATGGACAAAGTTAACAGATATATGACAGACTGGAGAAGATATATATGCAATATCTAAAACTGATAAGAGATTAATACCTACTTTATATAAAGAATTCCTACAAAATAACAAGAAAGAAATGGCCAAAAAGATATGGATAGGCAAATCACAGAAAGTCCGGATACCCATCTCAACTTACATACTTTACAACAAATGTATAAAATCCTCTAGCAATCAGAGAAGTGCAAACCGAAACAGTAAGAAACTCATTATACTTATAATGGCAAAAAATAAAAGTGCCTCGTACGCAATGTAACCGCCCAGAGCCCACCAATCCTCTCCACTCCCTCAGGTACCACCCCGCCCCCCTCAGGCGGGAAGTGCGCGTGCGAAGCATGGGGTCCTTCCCGCTTCCCGTCGCTTCCTTTTCCGTCTTGGCCCCACCCACCGCCGGCGCCATCGTTTCCGGTTCAACCCGGGAACGTCCGAGTGTTTGTGGTCCGTGGTTCTCTGACCCGCCTACTCCTCCGACGCTCCTCCTGCCGTCTCAGTCGCTGGGGAAGGTAGTTGCTAATAAAGTTTTCGTTTTCAGGGCCGCGCAGATCAGGCAGGGGCCATCCTCCGGCCCCTTGCTCGTTGCCCGCAGCCCAGTTTGGCTACAGGCAACGAGTATCAGGGCGTCATGGCCAGGGCCCACTGCGGCCGCCCGGGTGTCAGGCCGCCTTTCGCTGCCTGCGCGCTCCCGTGGCCTCTGGGTCCGCCGGTTCCTGTCTCGGCTTGAGTGCAGACTCTCCGCTCCCGCGGGCCACCCCGCGTTGGACCTCATGGCCTCCGAGGCGCCGTCCCCGCCGCCGTCGCCTTCGTTGTCGCTGTCACCGCCCGCCTCCCCCGAGCCTGAGCTGGCCCAGCTGAGGCGGAAAGTGGAAAAGTTGGAACTTGAGCTGCGGAGCTGCAAGCGGCAGGTGCGGGAGATCGAGAAGCTGTTGCATCACACAGAGCGGCTGTACCAGAGCGCCGAGAGCAACAACCAGGAGCTCCGCACGCAGGTGCGCGGTCTGCCTCCAGCCCCGCGCCCCATCCAGCCCTAGCTGGGCCTTCCAGGCCTCTAGTAGCCTCGGGAGGGCTCCCTAGCAGGGGCCCAGGACCACTCTCTAGGGTACTTGAAAAAAGTACAAGCTCGGTGCAGTTATAATTACAAGTATATTTGGAACAAACCTAAGAGAGCAAGTTTACTTCATTTAGATAAGTGTCTCACGGCTGGTCAGTACTCTGGCTACGTTTTCTTCATTCTCACTTGTCCAAGCGTCCCATTGGCAGTAGGTGCGTTTTAAATATTTCTTTCTAGATGACGCTTGAGTTTGTTAAAGCACAGAATGTGAACCCTAATCCTATTTCTGCCACTCTTTAGATGTATAAATTTATACTTAGCCTGTTTCCCATAAAGTGAGAATGTTAGTACCTCACAGTTGTGAAGATTAAGTGCAGGTAAGCGTGAGCAAACTCTTAGAATTTTACAAACTGTTGAACGCTATACATGTGACGGTTGTTATTCTGGTCGTTTATCATCTTGGGTTTTCTTGTGGAAGTAGATTAGAGATCTTAAATTAATGTTAGGGACATTAAGCAGCTTACTTCATTTTCGTAATATACAGTAAGGACAAGTACTTAAACTGCCACATTTTTTTAAAAAACAGGAGCATAATTTTTTTTTTCAGCTTTATCTGCTGGGCAGTTGCATTCTCGCCCAATAAGTTCCACGTAGTTACTAATTTCAATTTAACTCTTGTGTAGTCCTTCATAATTTATTGGTACCTTTCCCCAAACCATATATAGGAGGGGTCTTCAGGAAGTTCATGGAAAGATTCCTGTTATCTTTTAATTCCATTTTTCCACGAACTTTTCGGAGTACTCTCATGTAGTCTGAACACTTAAACGTTATCAGACTTTGTTATGCTTTGTTACCAAATGAGCAGTGAACATAACTGTTGAGTTGCAGTGACTTTGTATGCCCATTGTATAGAGTTGTTGTTATGATATTATAGGAAGTTTTTATTTGTTTACTCAACAGCCGGTTCTTGAACACCCACAATGTATAAGAACTTCTAGGAGAATACAAACATGGTAAAAGTATGGGGGGAGAGGAGCAAAATATGGCAGCTTTTTAAAAAAACCCTTTTATAATTCTAAATTGTTAAATTACTGCTTGTGTTAGAGATCCTAAAAGAAAATTTTTTTGCTAATCTTCGAAGAGCCAGCATTTTGGCTATTAGTGGTAATTTGATTGTGGTCTAACATGAACAATTGAAATAAATAGAAAGTCTTGACTCTACTGCTGATAGTAATAGCTCCTGCTTATTTTCCTTCTAGTCAGCGTCCCCTGGTGGAGGGGTGGAATTTGGTTAACTGTCATCTCAAATAACTGAGTATGTTTTGTCTGAAGCACTAAAAAGTTGGTTTGAGAATTAAGGATGAACTTTTAGAAAATCTTAATATGTGTAGGCTTTGGGGTCAGAGAACCTTGTGCGAATCACTCTGTCTCTTTAAATATTTCATATGTAAAATTGGGGTTAAGACAATTAATTTGTAAGGTGGTTGTGTGAATTAATGAGATATTATCCAAAGCACCAAGTATAGTGCTCAGCATGTGGTAGATACTAAATAATCTAGTTCGTAGTAATGGTGGTCGTAGCCAGAGCCAAGACTAGGGCAAGGCAGTAAGGCTCCTAGATCAGGGAATTTAAGGGAGCACTCATTCTCAGGTATGGACCCTGCGTGCGTCTGAGAGTGAATGCCTCAGATTTTTCACCCTAGGTGCCTTGCTTGCCTCACACTAATTCCAGTCCTTGTAGTAACAGCAGATCTGATAACTCATGAAGTGCCTAGATAATCTGTATATAATCAGTCTTATCACCTTTCTCTGTTTAAGTTTTATGTGTCATTTAAGAAATATTTAGAAGCTTGTTTTTTAGTTTGTCTCTTTAACTATTTCATATGAAAAATTGGGTTAAATATTTCATATGTAAAATTGTGGTTAAGACAGACTATTTTTTCATGTATATAGTAGACATTCTCTTGAACAGAGATCCTGTCAGACTGAAGTGTATCGACTGAGGCAGCTTCTCATCTGCTTATAGGCATTTCTGCGCTGTTGTTCAAGCCTATGCAGCATCCTTTCAAGGGCATTTCAGTGTGTGAGGCACATGGAGGACAGATGCCCCTCTTAGGCAGTCACCTCTGTTCTGCAATTATTTAATCATAAGACTATTTGAAGAAAGATGTGCAGTAAAGCATATAAGTGGCATGAATATATTTAAGTGACTCGTTAATTACAGGTGGAAGACCCTAAGTAATATTAAATAATTCAATATGGATGGAAATTTGTAGTTTTTAAATTTTCTAACCCTTTAGAAAGAACTGCTGACCTTTTAAAATATTAGCATAAAAGCCTTATTTGTTAGAAATAGAGGACCTGTTCACTAAGTCCCATTACTTAATTTAGTTAGTCCAATTTTTGGAGGGGATAGCAAGAGAGTTTAAGAATAAAAACATCTCTGTCTGCAAATTAAATGTAAAAGGTGAAAGTAAATTATAGTATTTTTACCTTTTCTGGAAAGGAAACTAGCTGCTCTTGACCTTTTTCTAAAGCTTTTACCAAGAAAAATAATTATTTGTTGTAATGTCAGAAGAATGCTGTGTATATTATTAGGTTGCCATATGATTTTCTAAATCCTTATTTTCTTTCAGGTGGAAGAACTCAGTAAAATAATCCATTGTGGGAGAAATGAAGATAATAAAAAGTCTGATGTAGAAGTACAAACAGAGAACCATGTTCCTTGGTCAATCTCAGGTATTCAACTTACAGTGAGGATATCCTAAAACTATTACATTCAGATCATGCTAATGTAGAGTTTTCTTTAAATTTAAAATAGACAAGGATCTAGGTAAATATGAGAACTGTTATAATGTTGACTTCCCTCCATATGATTTGGTATTTTCAGATGATCAATTTGCTCTTCTGGTAGAAAAAGTAGAAGCGTGTTGTTATTCCTATGATTTGTATGGTGTTGCTAATGTGTTTTCAGTAGCATACTCACTGAGTAATTTTTGCCATACAGTAATCGGTCTACTTTCATATCTGGCTTTCCTCATGACCAGGGGCACATGTTTTCTTGTTGATATGTTCAACTTAGCAATCTGTACAGTGCCAGTCTCTTAGGCCATTGTGGGAGTGGTGAGCCCATCACCGTGGCCTCATCAGTGGCATTATGTTGTAAGGTAAATTAACTGAGCTACTGAGTGTTAATAAACGTAGATCACAAGAAAAAGTAATTTTTACCATTAGGTTTTGCCTTACATCATTGAGGACATAATTCAGCTAAATTGCCAAACAGTAATAGTACTAACCTTGCATATCTATATGATATTGTATTTTTTTTAATGTCAGCATCATGAAAGAAATTTGACAGAAAAATTGTCCCTCGTACCTTGTCTTTATTTTGTCAATTGATAAGCAATAATGTTAAGGTATGTGGTTAGAAGCTATTAAGAGTTGCTGTTTTTGTGATAGAATACAACCTTCCTACCTATTTTCTTTGTTACTCTTGCTGTGGAAAATCCCAGTTTGCTTACCTTTTTAGTTTGACAGCTAGGGTACTGAAGGTGACATTAGAGCCAAAGATATATACTGCAGATTTATCTGCACCATCAGTTTTTTTTTTTTTTTTCCTTTTTGTCTTTTTTCATGTCCGGCAACGGACCGCAACCCTCAGTGTCGCGCCTGTACCGGACCGGGACCGGCAACGGGATCGCAACCCTCGGTGCTGTGCCCGCCCCTCACTCAGCCAGTGAGCGGGGACCGGTCTGTATGTGGGATCTGAACCCTTGGCGGGAGCGCCGCCGCACTCCCAAGCGGCGCACTGTAGCAGTGCGCCACTGGGCCGACCCTGCACCATCAGTTTTAATCTTTTAAAATGTGTACAGTTGTAAAAATCATGATTTATTTGCAATATGCTGTTTTGTGTTCAGTGCAATATTCTGGAATTAAATTCCTTTTTACATGCAGTGTTCTAATATGATATCACTTAATTTGTTTTTGCTACAGATTATTATTATCAGACATACTATAATGATGTTAGTCTTCCAAATAAGGAGACTGACCTCTCAGTTCAGCAAGGTCAGGATAACGAAGTTCCTACTTTTAATCCTAAAGACCAGTCACAAATAGAAAATGATGCTTACACTGGTGCTGATATAACAGAAAATGTTAAATGTGGACAAGAGGACCATTTCACCTCAAATTTACAGGTAATAAAATGCTAAACATGAAACTGTTGATGCCAAGAACTTGTCTTCTTTGTTGTTATTAGGCAGAAAAATAGACTTCTTTGGCCCATCACAGCGTATACTAGGGTTTTAAACATTGTTATGTATAATTATGCAAAGAATATTACAATTTTTGAAAAACAAAAATTAGAACTTAGTCATATGTGTAATTGTTTTCCTGCTACATTGTGTTCCAAAATTTTGTGAGGGATATACACTAAGACAAAGAAAATTTGTCATATATTTTGACTCAACCAAAGAACTTCAGACAACAACCACAATACCATGTTCACACCTAAAAAAAATTTAAATACTTCCTTATGTCAAATATCCTGTCACTGTTCAGATTTTACTGAGTGCTTTGTAAATTTACAGTTTGTTTGAATCAGGATCCCCACTGTGTGTGATATGTCTTATTTAATCCATAGTTTTCTCATTCTTCTAAGTTTTTTTTTCCCCAGCCAGTATGTAATTATTTGAAGAATCTAGTAGATCATATATTTTACACAATATTTCAGAGTCTGTGTTTTGTGGAATGCTTTCCTTTAATTTCATACATTTATTTTTGAATACTGTAATTGTCTTTCACTCACTTTTATTGTCTTAAAAACTGGGTCAAAGTTGAGTCAACTGACACTAGTTAAAAAAGTGATTCAAATTGTAATTGATACCCACCCCTTTTCATTGTAGAAATTGAAGTCATTATTTAAATGTAGCTTTAAGTCTATTGTTTCAAATTCTGCTAACTTTTAAATTGATATACAGAAGTTTTTGTCTTATTTGACATGAGTGTATGTTTTGTAGGAGTCAGCATCTGTATTAGCAACAGAAGGTACATCCTTAGAAGGTTCATCATTAGCTGAAAGTTTGAGAGCTGCAGCAGAAGCTGCTGTATCACAGACTGGATTTAGTTATGATGAAAATACTGGACTGTATTTTGACCACAGCACTGGTTTCTATTATGATTCTGTAAGTATTGCAGACATTTTAATACTCTATGGTTGCTTTCTTAGCTGCCTGATATCAAATACGTATCTGAAGTAAGAAAAGCAAGAAACTGCATTTAAATGTTACGTTTGATTCAAAGTTCTTTGACAGAATTATTCAGTAGCTTATGATGCTACACTTCTGAGTTTTTAATAAAATACGGTTTTAAGTTGTTAATCGTGGTTATTATTAATGTTTTAGAGAGGTCTAATGTTTATATATAAAGTAACATACTAAAATTTTAAAGCATTTATTAATAAAAGTATGTAATTAACTACATTGTTATGAAATGTTTAAGAACCTAAACTAAGGGGCCGGCCCGGTGGCGCACTGCTACAGTGCGTTGCTTGGGAGTGTGGCGGCGCTCCCGCCGAGGGTTCGGATCCCACATACAGACCGGTTCCCGCTCACTGGCTGAGCGAGGTGCGGGCGCAGCGCCGAGGGTTGCAATCCCGTTGCCGGTCCCGGCCCGGTACGGGCGCGACACTGAGGGTTGTGATCTGTTGCCGGACACGAAAAAAGACAAAAAGGAAAAAAAAAAAAAAGAACCTAAACTAATATTTTTTTTCATAGAATCTGTAAAGAGATGCAATACTTAATTCTAGTTTTGGGGTGAGATTTTAAAAAATTGTCTCAAATACTTTATGAATCCATTTTAGGCCACAGATGGAGACTTTTTCTTGAATTCTCATTTGCATTTTTATTATTAGTCAGCGTTTTATATTCTGTAACTTTTAAGCATTTTACTTTTAAAAAAATCAGTCCGTAAAAAGTGAGAACTAGGGAATTAATGTGGAATCAGAAATATAATGGACCACTAGCTAGCACAGACCCAGAAAATAAAATTTTTGATTTATAATATAGTATTATGGCTGTTGAAGTTTAATACTTAATTGGATTTAATTCAGGATTTTATGACAGTGATGATGGAACTCACCCATGTACTTCAACTACAAGGATTTAGGAATGTGATCTGTTCCTCTAGGAAATTACAGAATATGGTGGCCAAAAGTGGAACAAATTTTTATCATTTCAGTTACTGGAACTATTGTTAACTAATCTAGGGAACATAATGATAATATTAAGTATCTTAGATGAGATAAGGGATTTCATTAGTTTGTCGATCTGTGCACGGTAGATTTTGTAAGCTCTTTGTGATGAGAAAATTTTCTGTCATGGGAGTATGCTAATTGACATTGCTGATTAATACCCAGAAAATTAATGTTTAAACTCTTGTCCAAGAGAAGTAACTATTACTTGTTTGATTTCTAGGGAAACACAAAGTTTCCAAGTAGACATTAGTTTTTGTCATTCTTTACCTTTCTCTCTGTATCTTTCCTCCTGACACCTATTCTGTAAATTGTTAGTTACACTCTGCAGGTTATATGAGGGTACCTTTCTGAGTAAATTAGGGACTTCATTGTTTTGACATTTTTATTGAAGTAGTTTTTATTTTATTTTACTTAAAGTTTTTCTTATATTTCAAAAATGTCTATACAGTCACGTATTGCGTAACAACTGGGATACGTTCTGAGAAATGCATTGATGGGCGATTTTGTCACTGTGCAAACATCACAGAGTATACACAAAACTAGATGGTATAGCCTACCACACACTTAGGCCGTATGGTATAGCCATCAGAATATCATGGGACCACTGTCGATATGTAGCCTGTTATTGACCAAAACGTCGTCATGCCGTTCATGACTGTATTTTAGACTGACAGACATAACAGGTTAAAAAGGTTTGAGTTATAAAAGATCCATTATCACTAGAAGTGAAGAATAGAAAGCTTCCATTCAATTTCTTAGTTAAGGCTAAGACAGTGAGAATTCTAAATATTTTTGTAAGAGATCTGCAAAATGCATGGATTAAAGATAATAAATTGTGATAGTATCAACAGTTAGAAAAATAAATTACTCTTTTTCAGGAAGTTTTAGTTGCTCAATCTCAGTACATCATAAGATGTTTCCCAGTCTGGTCTGTATGGATTTATGATGTAAATAAAATATAGACTGTTCAATTAAATCTTGGCTATGGAGTACTGGCCAATATCTAATAAATGCAGGTGATTACATAATTTTATCTTTCTAGTTTTTAATCCATAATTTGCCAAAATTCACTTTTGCATGGCTGCTTTACTCATGTGTTATTTTCTTTACTATAAAATTAATTAGTGAAGAAAATTGTTTTTTGATTTTTCTATATAGAATGTTATGTTGTGGTATTTATGAGCTTAACTTTACTTTCAAATTTTTCTTCAGTGACTAAGTAATGAACATTACAAGGCAAATCTTTGTTTTAGGACATTGAGAGGAGGGTTTGGGGTTTATAATGCCAACCCACTATTGTGTAATCATTAAGGATAATGAGTCTGGAATTGCTTTCATATGGTCAGCCTTTTCTGATGCATGCCTTCGTTTTCATGCCTTTGAAAAATGTTTCTTGTTATCATTTTTTGTTAATGATTAAGTTAAACTATATAAAATTGCTGTTTCTTGTAAGTAAAAAATGTTTAAATATTGACAGTTTCATATGACTCAATATTTAGATTTATGCATTTTTTTACACTAGGAAAATTAAAGCAGATATTGAATGGTAAAGCATTTTGGAAAATTACAAGAATTTTTCATTCTGTTATCTTTATAATTCATTGTCTTCTGAAAATACTATAGTTCGTTAAAAGAAACAAATATTTACAATATTTGAATACATTTGGCATTTCTGTTGTTCATTTTTCTGTTTTATTTCATCTCACATGAATAGAACTTATTGTTTTCTTGACTTTGAAAGGAAAATCAGCTATATTATGATCCTTCTACTGGAATTTATTACTACTGTGATGTGGAAAGTGGTCGATATCAGTTTCATTCTCGGGTAGATTTGCAACCTTATCAGACTTCTAGCACTAAACAAAGTAAAGATAAAAAATTGAAGAAGAAAAGAAAGGACCCAGATTCTTCTACAACAAATGAGGAAAAGGTATATCTTCAAAATTTTAAAAATTTACATAGTTGTGGTAACATTATAATTAAGCCAAATTTTTTTTTTATGAAACCGAAAATTATTCAGTAATTCTGTATTCCAAACGTCTCCATTAAGATAACAAGATATCATAATTCAACAACTGAGGAGAATTCAGATGGAGCAAATGGACTTTTTCACAAATTTTCAGTCACTAGAAATAGGAGGCATTCCTTAAAGTTTGAAGGAGGTAAATGTAGGGCAGGTAAAATATCTTGTGTTGTATAATTTGGAAGAACATTGAGACCCTCAATTGATAAGTTGTTGTTAGTGCACAATTCACACTTAAAGAAAAACAGAGTTTGTAAGAAGACATAGAAACAGGTTCAACATTCTTGGTCATGTTGAGCAATTTTTTACCTATTAAATTAGCAAACTTTTTTACTAGTTTTTTTAAATTAAAAAATTTTTTATATAAATTAAATTTAAAAAATTAAAATTTAAAAACTTTTTTAAACTAAATTTTAAAAATTTAAAAATTTATTTTTGATTATACATATTTACAGGGTAAGAATTGACTATCAGTATTTGTGTACAGTATGTGATGATCAAATCAATATTATTAGCATGTTCGTCATTACAAATCATAATTACTCTTTGTGTCCCTTACCCAATTACTCCTTAAGCCCCCCTCCCCCTCCCTCTTTCCCATGTCTAGTGACTATAGGTCTTTTCTCTCCTGAAAGTTCAGTGTTTTACTGTGTTCTTTCTTAGCTCCCACTTGTGAGTGAGGACATACAGTATTTCTCTTTCTGTGCCTGGCTTATTTCATTTAACAATTTTCTCCAAGGTCATCCATGTTGCTGCAAATGGCAGAATTTCATTCTTTTTTATGGCTGAGTAGTATTCCATTGTGTATATATACATTTTCCTTATCCAGTTGTCAGTCAATGGACATTTAAGTAGATTTCATATCTGGGCTATTTTAAATAGAGCTGCGATGAACGTGGGTGTGCAGGTATCCCTTTGACATGGTGATTTCCATTCCTTTGGGTATATACCGAGAAGTATGATTGCTGGATCATATGATAGTTCTTCTGTAGTTGTCTGAGAACTCTCCATACTGTTTTCCATAATGGCTGTACTAATTTACAGTCCCCTAAACAGTGTAGAAGAGTTCTCTTTTCTTCACATCCTTGCCACCATTTGTTATTCTTAGTCTTTTTGGTAATAGCCTGTCTAACTGGGGTGAGGTAATATCTCATTGTGGTTTTGATTTACATTTCCCTGATGATTAGTGATGTTGAGCATTTTTTCATGTACCTGCTGGCCATTTATATGTCTTCCGTTGAAAAATGTCAGCTCCTTTGCCCATTTTTTAATTGGATTATTTGGGGTTTTTTTAAACAATGAAATTGTTTGAGTTCCTTGTATATTCTGGATATTAATCCCTTTTTGCATGTATAGTTTGCATTTATTTTCTCCCATTCTGTAGGTTGTATTTTCACTCTGTTAATTATTTACTTTGCTGTGCAGAAGCTTTTTAGTTTGATATAATCACATTTATTTTTTCTTTTGTTGCTTGTGCTTTTGGGGTCTTATAACATCTTTGCCCAGTCCTACATCCTGAAGTGTTTCCCCTATGTTTTCTTCTAGGAGTTTTATAGTTTCAGGTCTTATACTTAAGTTTTTAATCCATTTTGAGTTGATTTTGGTATATGGCAAGATGTATGGGTCTAGTTTCATTCTTCTACACATAGATATCCAGTTTTCCCAGCACCATTTGTAGTTGTTTGTCTCAATTAAAATGTAAACTACATTGAGACCATACATTCTCCAATGTATGTTTTTGGTGTCTTTGTCAAAGATCAGTTGGCTGTAAGTACCTGGGTTGGTTTCTGGGTTCTCTGTTCTATTCCATTGGTCCATGTTTCTCTTTTTATGCCAGTACCATGCTGTTTTGGTTGCTTCATAGTATAGTTTGAAGTCAGGAAGTGTAATGCCTCCTGTTTTATTTTTTTTTTTGGCTCAGGATTGTTTTGAGTATTTGAGGTCTTTTGTTGTTCCATATGAATTTTAGGATTATTTTTCCTATTTCTGTGAAGAATGGTGGTGGTATTTTGATGGGGATTGCATTGAATCTGTAGATCGCTTTGGATGGCATGGACATTTTCACAATGTTAATTCTTCCAATCCATGAGCAAGGAATGTCTTTCCATCTTTTGGTGTCCTCCTTAATTTCTTTCATCAGTTTTGTAGTTCTCATTGTAGAGATCTTTCACCTCTTTTGTTAAATTTATTCCTAGGTATTTTATTCTTTTGGTAGCTATTGTAAACGGACTTGCTTTCTCAATTTCTTTCTCTGCTTGTTCATCATTGGTGTATAAGAATGCTACTGATTTTTGTGTATTGATTTTATATCCTGAAACTTTACTGAATTTGTTTATGAGCTCCAGGAGTTTTTTGGTAGAGGTTATGGGTTTTTATATACATAGAACAGTGACAATTTGACTTTGTCTTTTCCATTTGGATGCCCTTATTTCTTTTCTCTTGCCTGATTGCTCTGGCTAATACTTCCAATACTATGTTGAGTAGGAGTGGTGAGAGTAGGTGTCCTCGTCTTGTTCCTGTTCTTAAAGGAAAAGCTTTCAGGCAGTGGGTTTGTCACATATGGCTTTTATTGTGTTGTGGTATTTTCCTTCTATACCTAATTTGTTGAGGGTCTTTATCATGAAAGGATGCTGAATTTTGTCAAATGGTTTTTCTTCATCTAGTGAGATAATTATATGGTTTTTGTCCTTGTTTTTGTTGTAGTATATCACGTTTATTGATTTACATATGTTGAACCATCCTTGTATCCCTGGGGTGAATCCCGCTTGATCATGGTGTATGATCTTTTTGATGTACTGTTGTATTCTGTTTGCTAATACCTTGTTGAGGATTTTTGCATCTATGTTCATCAAGGATATTGGTGTGTAGTCTTTTTTGTTGTGTCTTTGTCTGATTTTGGTTAAAAAATTTTTTTTATTGAGCCACAGTTGATTGTACATATCTGTGGGATACAAAGTTAAGTATCAGTAACTGTATGCAGTATGTGATGCTCAAATTGGGATAATTTTGTTGTATTCAACATTATGTAACTGTTTTTCATGGCCCTTTACCAGTTCCTCCCTTACCCCCCCCCCCCCCCCCCCTGGAAACCCCAGTTCTTTTTTTCCCTTTTTGCAAACATTTTTTTTTTTTTTTTTTTTTTTTTTTTTTGGGGTGGTCAGG